ATAATTAAAGAGAGACAGAAAGACGGACAGAGGGCGAGAAATAAAATACAGACAGAGACAGACAAAGAAAAAAGAGAGAGATGCATAAAGAAAGAGAAAGTGAGATAGACACACGGACAGATGAAACAAAGATGCATGTGGATGTTGACAGTACCTGGGGCCTGCTGTGTCAACCTCGATTAAAGTTCGCTGAGGCAGAGAGTCTTGAGTTGCGCGTCTATCATCCTTAAAAAGAGAACACAGGCATATTGGATGCTCAATCAGAAACCAGAATCCTGTTGTTTTTTAAAAAGCTTTAAAACAAATCCTCTCACTGTCTCCAAGAAAGGCTCCGTCTGGTAAAAGCGATAAAACTCTTTGTTCTTCATCACCAAGAAATGAGCAGCGTTGATGATAACTCTCTTCAGACCAATGAGTGAACGTAGTAACCTGCAGAGGACAAAAATAATCTGTTGGTAACTAAAGCAATCAAAGCAGACAGCTTTCAATATATAAATATTGAGTTTCAGGTCTAAAAAAAGATGACATTTTCACCTGATACAACTTAAAGAATCTAAAAGCTGAACTGTATACCTCTCTGATTGACGACCATTTACCTGGTGCCATAATCAATCACAACATTCTCTTTGGCAGTGCCAGTGACAGCATCGTGATGTTGAAAAAGGCTGACAGACCGCCTCGCGTCCACTAGCAGGGCGTAATCCGAGACTGGGTAGCGTCCTTCCATGCCCGCATGTCGAGCATTGGCGACGGCCAGACTGTACAGGATCTCAGCTCCTCTGAGAGGCGGAGACAAAGGACAAAGCATTATAAATTATGGAACATTCCGTATGTTTGACCATTAAAAGACTTGAGTGCTAAGATTCTGCTGGTCATGGAGAAATCTCCATCTCTGATTTCACCTAGTTCCAATCCAATGTTGTGTTACATCACAAAGGGTTTTGGATTAGAAAACAAATGAATGATTTTTACGATTAATTGTATGAATTTCCAAGGAATCTGATGAAAAAATGATTTTTCCTGAAAGACAGTTTCCTGGGGAGCCTTTAAGTTTGGCCTTTAGATTTTGAGGCGTTACCATGGCAATGCAATGTCAAACAAGGCAAAAACACCATCTGCAAATGTGGGAGGTGTACCCAGACCATATTTAAAAAGGGTAGTGTCACTCAGAAGAGTAAGACAAAAGAGAGAGAGAGAGAGAAAGAGAAAGAATTAAAGCTGCAAAATTCATTCGGGGCAGAAGCAGTTTTGCTCAACAGTGTGAGCACAAGAGGGATATTAAAGAAGATGGAAAAAAGTGAGTAACAATAAAGAGAAAAACGTAAACGATATCCTAATTTTATTATGCGATATGGTAGGAACTCTCTGTGCAATAATTAAATGTGTTTAAATAAAACAAAACTAAGTACTACATACTTACCATAAACCATAACATAAATATAATGCTGGATTTTAATGGATTTATATATTTAAAAATACATTGTAGTCCTGTCCTCTCTTTACCCCTTGAGCTCTTTGATTATTTACCTCAGGTGTGACTCAATCACACGATCCAAGCTTTTGTAAAACGGCCTGGAGGTGAAATAGCCAGTCCAGTAGTGATCTTCTCGATCTGCGTAAGCGAAAAAATCCCCACTCAGCACTGGGAAATCTGTAGGTCGGGATCCCGGAGACACTCCCTGTGCTTTGTACACAGCATTAAAGTAGTCTGAAAGAGTCCCAAACTGGGCCTGGAGAGGGATTAGAAAAAATTTGAAAAGTTTGATAGCATTTCAAAACTGCCTTTTGTGAAATTTTCTGAATCAGACATCCAGTCACTACATCTTCTCTCTTTTGTTTGTGAGTTAAACGTACCAACAGAACATGTATTTGTGTTACCTGTACATGCATTTCAGGGTGAGAGTTCATGTAGTCAAACAGCTTCTGGTAGTTCATGTACTGCTGATCCCACTCCAACGCCTTGTCATAGCGGAAGTCGTCACCCAGTGGAATGAGAAGTACCTTGCTGCGGTACAGTTTAGACTTTTTACGGTACTGATCAAGGAGCAGATTCGCCCTGAAGACAGAGATAAAAAAGATTACTCTTTTTGTTGCATTTCTACTACTTTCTGCAGCTGATGTGTATTTAATAGTTGACAGCTGCTCTCGGTGGACATTGACTTGAATTCATCTTCATGTTATCCAAGTTTAGTAGCATTAAAAAAATGGTAGTCAAAAGCCAGTACTACTTCACTACTTTAAAAGCATTATAATCTTATCAGGACTAGTAAAAATCTCAATTTTAATGCTTAAATATTCTGCCCTTTTTTCCTTTTTGTTTACAGTACAGTTTTTTTAAAAACTAGATACAATGCAATGGAAGAATATCACTTGGAGAAAAGAAACAACTAGAAATCTATGGCTTTTCAGAATAAAATAAAATAAATACAAACTGTAGTAAAACTACAGGGCATTAAAAGTAATTCTAAATAGGTTTAAAGCACAAATTCAAAAGGCCTCAGGCTACTTATTCTGGAGGTTTTTCCACTGTCTGGGGGCAGAGACAGAGGAGGTCTGATCAGCCCAGTGTTTATACCTGGTTTCAGACACTTCCAATAAAAGCTGATTTGACATCAGTGCCCTCTTGTGTCTGCAAGGAATTTTTTTAATCACTCAGGTACGATAGGGCAAGGGCATTTCAGGTCTTCAAAAACAAACAATGGAAGTAAAAAAAAATGGTGCATTTTGAACAAGCTGGAGACGATTCTTGTGGGACTGTGAAACAACAAAAAAATAAATCAATAAAATGCAGAAATATAATCAATTCTACAATGAATAAAATGTGAAAAACCTTTTCAAGGCCAGAAACAGTTTAACTTTGGCCCACAGGCACAAATGGAAGACGTGAGCTATGACTACATTGTCATCTGTTTTTTAAATTTATTGTCGAAGAAAATGCCAAGAGTTTCCAGGCACCTGTGACTTTAACCCTTCATTATACTGAAGCTTTTCGGAGTTGTACACTTCTGAGCTACCAAAAAAATGGCCATCACTGTACCAACGTCTTTAATGTGCTTGAAAGTTATTGACTTGAATTCTGTTTTCTAATGACTAAAAGCCAATGTGTCCAAACACTAAATTACATTTCCAAATACTATATAATACTATAATGAAAAGTTACCCAGCTGAACAAAAATGTTCCTGACCACAAACCACAAATATTCCTCACCTCTCTGCTACATTGGCTTCCACCACAGACTTCGGTGGCACTTTCCAGGGACAGTTGATGCGACCCCCTGGTAGCCTCTTGAAGTCGAACTGGCAGCAGATCTTTGGGTCAGGCCCACAGGTGTGGGGTACATCATAGCTGTAGAAGGGCATCATGTGGCAAAACATGTCCGTGCTTGACCCAGTGTCTGTAAATGTAGTTGAACCAAATATTTATTTTAAATCAGGCTTCAATGACATGCCATGATTAAACTTATTTTATGGTCCATAAGTCTGATGGGTATGAAAAAAATACTTTAATTTTGGTTCATTAAAGCTGGCATATTGTCACAGAATATCTTTGGATACATTTTTTTGCATCACACTTTCTTTAAAGGCAACGGTCAGATAATCATAGCAGCCAACTGTGAGACAAAAAAATGGGCAATAATAATACTCAAATCAGTATTGTTCCCCTGAAACTGCAGTAGAACACACACACCCGCAGGATGTCCTTCCAGATTTCATCTGTTTTCAGAGGCCATATCCACGGGCATGACTCATCGTGACACAAACCTAACAAAGGCAAGTACCTGAATGAGATGACATTGCTGGCTCCAGTCCACTCACCCCATGCCTGCCTCCACATAAACTCTAGGCTGCGGGTAGACGCAAAGTGCTTTTTGATAGAGTAGTGCACTCTCTGGATGAGCATGCTGGTCAGGTTTGCCCTCTTCAGGAGATATGGCATTGTAGCACTGTGACCAAAAGGATCTACTGCCCAACCACTTTGAGGAGTTATGCCTGCAGAAGGAAAAAAAATAACTTTCGGATTTCCACTTATGTCCAAGGGAACATGTTTATTACAAATTTGAATTTCTGAATATTTAGGTTTCATTTAGGTATTTAGATTTCTTCTAAATACCAACAAAATATATTGTTTTTTTAAAGGACCTTATGTACCCAGATTTTTTTCAAGCCATTGATGTCCTTCAATGAGCTGGTCTATCATAGCAAAGTAGTGAACATTGGCTTCATCAGTCATCACCCAGCCTCCCGTCACAATCTCTAGCTGCCCTCCGTGGATTAGTCTGGTAAAATAAGAGGATTAGGAAAGCCAGGTGAGGACAATCCAGTCTTTAGGAAAAAGAATCACATTAAACAGATAACAAGCTATTTTTAGAGTGCCCTGTGAATCGCGGTGCCTACTACGTATTCTGTAAAATGTTGTACTTAAGGAAAAGAAGCTTCGACTAAGTCTCAGAGGGAATTAACTACCGGGCCCCTTTCGGCTGTTACTCACTTGCGCACAGCTTCCTGTTTGTGTGCATCTGCCGTCTCCCACCACTTGGAGAAGAAAGAAATCTCGGACCAGATGAACTTCCTGCGTGGATCTTCAGGCAGTTTCACCACCATGTTGTTTAAAATATGCTGTGTCTGGTCTACAAAGTATTTATCGAACGTTTTGATCCAACCTAAAAAAAAGAGAACATAAAGATAAATTTAATATTACTAGCTGAAACAATTAAAGTCATCCCTTTTGGCTAAGTATGACTATGAATTTAACCATGGGTTTTGGTGACGTGCACTGTCCTCTTATAGATATTTAAAAAAGAACAGTGATTATTAATCATAAAAACCCACGATAGACAAAATTGGACAGACCCATAAGACTGTTCAAACTTTGTAGACAGTTCCACAACTTTTTTTTACAGGTCTACAAACTGCTAAGGGTTAAAGAACTGAAATACAGATGCTTTACAGAGTGATGCCTTCTCAGAAAAAGAAGAACCTTGAAAAGTGAGGGGTTTTAAATTTAATGAAAATGTTAATGTAAGCTGATACCCTAAGACCTACCTGGGCTAATATCATTCTAACCACATCCTTTGCAGCTAATGCTTAAATTACGTCATTATAGAAAAGAACAAATTAATCTATTATTTTAATTATTTTAAATTGCTTCCAACCGTACACCCACTCAAGTGAGGCTTCATTTCAGCTGCCTTGGTTCTTTTACGCAAACACTGTAGAAACTCAAGACTCCTCTTCAAGTGCTTAAGGTCAGGGATGAAAAAGTGTGACCTGTGACAAGTATTTCAATCTGTTGTGCGTAAAGCTCTCACAGCTCACCTGGGTCATTGTGCGAGTGGGGGACCACGAAAACCTGAAGTGGCTCCTTGTCCCACTCTTTGGGGTCGTAGGTGATATCAAAGCCCTGCTTCCATACACCACCATCAGGGTTGTCAAACTTGAGCAGGGAGTAAACGTCCAGCATCTGAAGTAAAACACCATTGCTTACACAATTAGGAAAAAATAAACCCCTTTGCTTCAATACAAAATACCATACAACCACCTGACACCAGACACACACAAACCTATGTATTCATAGTAGTGTCAGGCTGACAGGCTCCATATGCACCAGCATTGTATTTAAATTGTTTAAAACATGTTCCCAGCATGTGTGATTTTAATGTGCATGTGTTTAATGCGTATGTTACATAAGCGAACATCTTAGATGGACAGCTAAACACTGTACATGTTTGGAGAAATTTGCCTTGTGTCCGAGGAATAAACCAGCAGGTAGATTACCTGAACATCTGCTTGACCACGGTTGCTCATAGCAAACTGGCAATCTTGTGGTTTGACAGCGAAGAAAGTGGGGCGACCGTCAAACGGCAAGACCCAGGAACCATTGGCACTTCTGAATGGCAGGTGGCCACTGGGAGACACAGCTCCAGTGTCTGTTAGCTCCATCACAGAGTCCTTTATGTGGCTTATGATTTGGTGGTTTTCCTCCAGGAGCTGCTCCAGCTGCTCTATCCGGTTCTGCAGAACTGAGATCTGGCTCTAATAGACATGCAAAACACATTGGGTGCATGTAAACATATAATTCTCTGGTACAAACATTAAAATTTAAAACTGGTTCATTTAGCAAAGTGAGAGACCCAAGTTGGATCTGAAAAGTACAAATAAAAAAATCACAACTGTGAATGCTCAGTTATATTAAAGAAGACAACCAGACCACTGTGAGCTAGGGGAAGAGTCTGTGTTGATACAGCTCCAAGAACATAACAACAAACTATGCAAAATAAAAAATAAAAAACTAGAGATAAGGTGTCAGTATCAGAACGACCTGGGAGAGCAATTATTCTTACCCTTGGAAAGTTTCCCCCATTCTGTCGCCTTGCGGGGTCATGTTGGACTCGATCCAACATCAGGTACAGAGAAAACACAGCCACACAGAATATGGCACCTCCAAACACTGTCACTTGTTTCCTTAGCTTCATTCTCCTCTGGGACAGTCTCCTTTCAGGGTTTTTAATTAACAAATGGCCTTTAATGAGTTGTGTTGTGTTTTTTTCCAACACAGTGGTATAAAGGTCCTTGAAAAACTGGAACACAGTCTTTTAAAGTGCACAAGAAATATATAAATTAACCAATAGCACATGAAATATTTCTTCAGTTCTAATTCTAAATTGCCCAAAGGCATCACTCATCATACTGGAGACCACAGGGACGGGATCCACAGCATCAGCACCGGGAGAAGACGGCAAGAATGTTAAATCAGATTAGTGGCAAAAAAAAAAGTTCCTCAGCTTTTGCTGAACCACGACCACTGGTTTGGTTCAAAGTAGTCGCTGTGCTTAACAAAGCAGACTGATGAGATTGCAGGAGGAGGGAAAAAAAGTGCCACACAGAGACAGTCTAAACAGGGAGCCTAGTGTTCCTGCGGCATGATGGGTCTTGCAGTGGCTCTGCCCTCCTTGCTCTGCCTTCGATCACAGAGAACACTCTAATCATCCAGAACAGCAAGGATTCCCTTTGGCAAACTTGTCCTCCACAATCATAACAGTGTGCTACACCACACTGTAATGCAGTGGTTTAAAAAAATGAATGAGAATGGCTTAATTCAGAGCTGGAGCTCTTTAAGTTTCAACTATGCACAAAAACAGCTCCAAGAATCAAAATGAGGAACGTCATTATTCTCTCAGCGGTATGGTTACAGTATATCAGCTGCATATCAGCAGCAGTGGCATGGGCAGGGCATCCTTTCCCGATCACACGTGGATTCCCAAGTGAGGTTCTCCTGCAGCTGTCGGGATAAAGAAGACAAGAAGTGCCAATGTTTTTGGCTGTCAAGGAATATATTTTTGCACCAATCATTAATATTACTTTAACAGACTAAACACTGTGTGGTCGAACTATCCCAGAGTTTAACTTTGTTTAATATAAAAACTTTGGTATAACTGGTAAATAAATAATAATAATTACCTACTTTCTTTAATCGAAGAGAACATTAAAATGTTATATATATACAAAAGTCCAAAAAAAAAAAAAGGTACATTAACTAATTTTAGAGTAAAACAGAAATAACAGATGCCATAACAACAGTCATCACATGCGGGGGGAATCATGCTGAGAAGTCTGTTTTTCCTTGTGACATGAACAGGAGGTTCTGTTTGTGTGCAAATCCAACAGTATTAATCCGCTCACAATTGAAAATCTAGCCTCAGCACAGCCAAACTTTAAGGATAATGTTGTACTAAGGAGCAACCTAGAGTCAAAACAAAATTTGTTGAAACATAAAGGCTAGAGAATATTTCAAAACTTAAAGCCATATCTTTAGCGGTAAACACTCTTTTGAGGTCTCCGGTCACCAGTCACACACGTACACAGTACGGACGTGAAAGATGGATGACAGTAACAGGAATTATTTGTGAATTATTTAATTAATATGTTAGATGTCACCTTAACTTAAAAGGTTGGGATGGAAGACTAATAGGAGGTCTCTCCTCCAAGCTTTATCTTGATGGACTTAGGTCAGCCTACATCTGACTGTTAGCCGTGTAAACCCGTTACCTGTAGGGTTACTGGTAGACACAATGTGTACACAGTTGGGTTTTTCTAACAGTCGCATGGGATTACTGTACAAATATTTACTTTCCATGACATTTTGATATAAATTAGCTATCAGTGACAGCTGTCTGAAGAGCTAGCGCTAGCAACCGTCCCAGCATTACCCAAAGTCCCCCGTTTCCGAATCATAAACCAGAGTCAGCTCTTATTGAGCCCACGGTATCCTAAAGATTTTCCGACGATCGATTCTGGCGTACTCGCCGGTGTAAAAGCCTTACCGTACGGCAGATGTCCCTAACATTATACATAGTAGCAAGTACTGGTGTGACAACATTCAAGACGTGGCTAATATTTTTCCATAAATCTCGACCAAGACTTGTGCGTATGCATATGTATGTCTTTTATATATATAAAAAAAGAAAAATGAAGAAAAAGGACGTTACCCATTTAAAAGGGTTTTCCGCAAGAGTCGAACGCCCAGCAGAGTGTACTTGCATGTGTATGTGCTTTAGCTGAAGACTGACAGACTACCCAGAGCTCTAGCTGCTAGCTTTCTCTACAATCAACCGCGGAGGACTGTGGGAAGAGAGAAACTGCACACTGGCTGCTGATTGGTCAGCAGCTACGAGGCTTTAAAAATAAATTGTCTAATTATTTTTTCTGTAAGAAACTGGCGTTAGAATACAGATAGCGTTAATAAATAATAGGATTATTTTGTTCATTTCAAGTATTGCAAGCTTAAGGGCGCATATTTTATATACATAGTGTGAAAATACAGGACACAAAATTATACGCCAAAATATTTCACCCCGAAAACCCTGAGACACGCGAACAAATGTCATTTAAATAACAATTCTTTTTATTGAGCCACAGCATAATCGAATGATGTAGTTTAGCAGTTGTTGTATGCTTAACCATTAAAGTGTAATTAACTACTCATTACACTCCCCTTGAGAGAACTTGATAGTGATTTTGAGTTATTGTTAAAGCTTTATAACAGAGAAATAAAAATAGTTTAGGAAATGTACAAGGAAAAACAACCAATAATAAAATGCCGAGGCCTTTGGTTACAAAGATATTTTTTATTGAAGGACTTGAAGCAAATCGATGTAGGTGATCATTGTGTCTTCAAAACAACAAAAATTAAATACATTTACATGTAAAACACGTTTCAACATTTCGCCATGCCCGCTTATCTATGATGGCATTTGCATAAATATGCAAATGCTTCAAAATCTTACACGCAATCTTAAACTACTGTTTTCTTTCACTCAAATATAAATTTCAAGTTCAAATAAAATGCAGCTTTACAGAAACAACTCAGCAATGGATAGGCATACTTTTGAGAGGAATGACAGAAACAGATGCTGTTACTTTGGTCTGGTTATAAAAACTGATTCATTCCAATGAATTAGTAGTTTGTTTGTATTTAATTTATTTAAGTCCTTTTCCAAACTTGAAACAGTCTTGTGTTTACTGTATGTGCATGTTTTGCGCACGCACACACACACACACACATAAATACACACACACACACATTAAAAATATTTTTTTCACTAGAGTCTCGTCACAATGGGACACCTGTTTATCTTGCTTGGACCTTTTAAACCTACTGTTTCTTTTTTGTGGTTCTATCAGTTATGTAAGGTCTTATGACATTCAGCGTTTAGGAAGCAAACAAACATACAAAGTTTGTGGGGAGGGTATTATTTTGCTGCCTTGTAATTTGAGCATCTTACCAGGTGAACCCAGGCATGAGGCCCATAGGGAGTCACCCTTTCTCCATAGCAACAGAGTTTACAACAATGCTCCACAGATGTCATGGTACATGAGAATCCCCAGGAGTCTTAAAAAAGGAAATACCACACCAGGTCACTTGAGTTGGTTGCATTCATACTAGCTGAGAATACACCTTAATGGAAACACAAGACCCACATCTGGGATATAATTTGTTGCTCATTTTGAAAAGAAACATCATATGTGATGAATTTGAGCACTTGAGAAAAACACTGATGTGACATTGTCTTGACAGAGAAATAATTTTGAAAATGCTTAAGATAGCTTTAGTTACTGTACTTGCACACATATGTGTTAATTTTATAATTTTATAAAATTGTTGTGGTCCTCTTTGATTTTTTTTCTTTTTGACCCAGTCTCACGTGGTGATAATGGTTAAATGTTACTAAGACCAGGACTTTGTGAAGACCAATAAAGCATGAATAATGTCCATTTCTTATTGATATTTAGCTGCGTACTTTAACCTTTTCTCTTTGTCGTCTCTTCTTAGGTATAATAAATAGTGTATGATATGCAAATAATTTAATGCACATCACGAGGTATTCCAAATGTGCCTTAAAAAAGTCCTAATAACGTAATCATGACAAGACATGTCATGAGTGCATTTACAGCAATGTCAGGAAAAAATAAATTTCTGTATGGTGGCAGGATACAGAAATTTATAAAAAATAAATTTCTGTATGGTGGCAGGGACAGGTAATGTGCTAGTAATGTGTGGTAATGTCCAGTTAAAACAATTTAATACTATTTCAAGCTTGAAGAGAAGTCATTATCATAGATGAAAATGCAACCAAATAAAGCTGTGATGAAAAGCAGAGGAGTTCGGCTGCTCTTTTCCTATTATGGTCATAAAGGCTGGATGTGGGCGGAGCCAGAGTCGTAGCGTCCTCGACGTACTCACGACACCCGGAAGTGCATGAAGACGTACCATGTCTTTCTGAAATTAGCGGTGGTTGTAACCAAGTAGACGAAAGTAAACTTCTTACCATTCGTAGTAAATAAAGCTCGGTGTCAACGATGGGTGAGAGTGAAAAAGAAAAGGTAAGTTAGCAACGGCTGGTTGCCTCTATCGTATTAGATCAGGGGATTTATCCCAAATATATTAGCTGTCATTCTGAGAATGTTCTCTCTAACCCAGGACCCTGCAGCCCTGAAGGAAGAGGGGAACACTCTGTTCAAGGCTGGAGACATGCAAGGTGCTGTTGGCTGTTATACCAGAGCACTGAAGCTGAATGAAAGCCCCAAAGACTGTGCCGTTTTGTACCGGAATCGTTCAGCCTGCTACCTCAAACTGGAGGATTACAGCAAGGCGGAGGCTGATGCCTCCAAAGGTAACATTTGAGCCAAACAACCTCAGCACAGATACATTAGTTGAGCAGTAATGTCGTTAGTTCAGAGGTTGGTTTGATAATTTTTTTCTCTGTTTCTTGCCCGCTCAGTCCTTGCTTGTCATACCTTGTATTGCCTACACAGTTTGACTATAGTATCGTTCTTATATTGCAGAATTTTTTACTTTTTGTAACATTGTTGGATTTCTATCCTTTGTGGCATTTTTTAATGAAGTGGATAGTTAACAGTTTACACATAGATGAACCCATACAGTATAAAAGCAATTCTCTTTGATGTGAGTTAAAGGTACCGTGTATGTAAGTAAGTCTGACACCAGAGGCTTAGACATTTCCATAAATGTTTAAAAGTCTATAGTTTGGTAAGACACTCATCATCTATTTTACAGACAAAAAGTACATTAAAAAATTTAAAGCCTCCTCACATGCATGAAAACTGTACTACATACTACAATAATAAATAAAATCAGAATCATAAATACTTACTGAGGCCTGAAGAAGCCATGCAGTAATGCTCCTACTAATGCTTAGACTAGTATTTTGGATCCAAACATATCTAAATCTAAAAGTAGACCACATGTTATAATGTAGTGCTGTTTTAGCAGCTACTGTATGCAATCCTGCTTATGCTTCAAAGTATCACTTGTGTAGAGATATATCCCCTCATAAAATTCTCTTAACACGTTAAAGAAAAGAGTTAGTCAACAGTAAAAGTAATGGTTTAGCAGCTCTTTTAATTTTCAAGAAAATGTTCCAAAAAATATGCTTTACCTATGGTGGTGTAAAAGGACAACCTTCAGCAGTCAATCCATATAAATGTAACCACTTTTTGTGTGTACTTTTTTTATGTACTCAATGCCGAATGTCACCATTCCTGTCTTCTTCACAGCTCTTGATACTGACCCCGGTGATATAAAAGCCAGATTCAGAAGAGCTCAGGCATTTCAGAAACTTGGTCGGCTTGACCAGGCTTTTCTGGATGCTCAGAGATGTGCTCAACTAGAGCCCAAGAACAAAGCTTTCCAGGAATTGCTCAGAGAGTTAGGAGCCCATATCCATCAAAAGGTGACATACATTTGAATAATCTTAACGAAGGGTTATAATGCACCAGTTCAAACGTCGCTAGTAAAGTTTTTTTTTTCCTTCTTCCTGTAGTCAGCACAAATAAATTCAACTGATGCCCGTGTGCAGCAGATGTTCTCCCTCCTAGTAGATTCTTCTTCTAAAGACTCAGATCGACAGAAGGTAATGGTATTCATGTGGAAGGGCATAAACATTTTTGTTGTGCTTTGCTTAGTCCCCTAATTTACCCCAGACCTATATTACAGGCGGCTCAGAACCTTGTGGTGTTAGCCCGAGAGGACGCAGGAGCTGAGCAGATCTTCCGCAACGATGGAGTGAAGCTAATTCAGAAACTATTCCAGTCAAAGCAGGAAGAGTTGATTCTTTCTGCCCTGAGGACTCTGGTTGGTCTGTGCACAGGACATCAGTCCCGAGTAAGAGCAAAACATTTTTGTTAAGATAATCATGCATCATTGTCAAAGTAAAATTTGTTTTATGTAAGTGTGACTGGGGTTTGTTTATCAAATGATATTCTATTAGGTTTCCATCTCGTTACAAATTTTTGTTGATTTTTTTTTGTTTTCATTCAGACCATGGCTATTGTGAATGAGATTGGAATGGAACAGCTCTGCTTAGTAATGGGGTCAGATGCTTCCGCTGTGTCTTTGGCTGCCTGCCACCTGCTGCAGGTGATGATTGAGGCTTTAACCGAGGGTATGAAAAAAGACATCAGAGGCAAAGATGAAGCCATACTTCCTGGTGAGTTTGAGCTGAAACCATGCGTATAAACACTGTTGTTTTTATGCGTAACTGAGTCCTACTTCATCAATTGAAATATGTCTTTATATTTGACACAGAACCCTCAAAAGAGCTACGATCAATGTTGCGGCATCTCCTGGAAATGTTGCCAGAACCGAGTGTGTCAGGACCAGGAAGAGACAGTGCCATCAACCTTCTGGTCAAACAAGTGCCGCGCAAGTCATTGAAAAACCCAGACAACTCCCTAACATTGTTGGTCATAGATCAGGGTATGAGAAAAAACATGCACATACAGTAAATTACAGTAGATTATGACAACAACACCACTGTCACAGGAAGCTTAACAAACATGCACTATGAATAATTTCTATTTAATTTTTCCTGCAATTCAGGTAGTAGCATTTATTTAATTATAAACATAAAATGTAATTCAGTGAGTTTCAAAGCTATTCTTAGTGACATACGGTAATTTGATCTTGTCTTGGTTTTGCCACTGCTAGATTCACAATGCCTTACTTCTTTCTACAGGGTTGAAAAAAATCCTGGAGGTAGCTGGTACAGTTGCAGAGCTTTCACAGGGGCCACCGCTGACAGACAGCACTCCCATCAGTTGCTCTGTGTTGCTGAGCAAACTGTATGATGACCTCAAGAGCGACAAGGAGCGAGAAAACTTCAACAAACTATGTGAAGAATATGTGCAGTGAGTCGATAACTGATGAAATGTTGAACATGTAACATCAACATAAAAATGTAACATCAAGCCATTCGTTTGAATTCTATTTAAAATATTTCTTGTTTGTGTAGGGAGCACTTCACCAGATCTGGGCTGAATTCTAAGTTGCGAGCCATTCAGACAGTATCTGTTCTCCTTCAAGGACCAAGTGAAGTAGGTAACAGAACCCTGGAGATGTCAGGAATGATGGACGCAGTAATTTCTCTGTGTGCATCCGAAGATGTCAATCATCAGCAAGTGGCAGTAGAGGCTCTTATTCATGCTGCTGGCAAGGCCAAGAGAGCTTCCTTCATCACTGCCAATGGAGTGGCACTTCTAAAAGACCTGTATAAGAAAAGTGAGAATGACAGGATACGCGTAAGAGCCTTAGTGGTAAGTGCTGCAGACAACTGAAAAAAACACCTGTGAATTGATATAAAGCTGATA